AACATGTATGTCTGTGAGCTAAAGTGAGTTTGTCTCTTCAGAAGTATTTCATGAGTCAGATACAAGCCCTGTCCTGTCTTACCATTCAGGGTTGTTTACAAAGAGAAAATCTTGGTTTTTGTTACCTTCTAAATCATCCACAAACCTCCCAGTAAATCATAATAATGTTATAATATGCCCTAACAAGAGAAAGCAAGTAAAATTAGGTAATGGTATTAAGTTATGTAATTAAGGATAAAAATCTGAATCTAACTCATAGGTGACATTCACGTGTCTGATTTAGCAGTTCTAAGTTCAGTTTTATTTGTATTGATGAATGGATGTTTGGAAATGGAATATATAGATTCATCCTTCAGTTTAACTTATATTTTCCGAATATGGTGAAATCTGTTGTTCACCTGGGGCTAGAAACTTGTTTTCTCCCCAGAATGACAGTGAGTAAACATCGTGGCATGGTGCTTAGCACTCAGTACTTGGTACTCTTCACAGAGCAACCCCCTTTCTATCCCAGGATGCACCTTTATTGGTATTCCTTTATGACAGTTTATAGAGTACTAGCTACTAATTAGGCTGGTGGTTATAAAAATATCTTGATTTTTTTAGAAGCCATTGTCAATTATATATTAATCGGAAGTAAAATACAGTCTTTCTAAAAGCTTAGCATAGATTGGTGGATCCTGGAACTATTTTTACGCCCCTCCCATTTCTCTGAGCAAGGCCAGACTACGCTGCCTCTGGGGCACAGACGTCACTCAGCGACAAAGACGGCGCCCGTGGTGGGTGCGTGAGTCCCGGTGGACACAGGTCGAAGAGAGAGGCGCTGGGGTGGCTCATGCCCGCGAGACGCTGATGTTTTTGGAAGAGCGAACGGAACAGAGGCGTCTCTGTCCTTCTCAGAAAACCGTGTTTTATTTCCCCACGCACGTTCACAAACTACTGCATCTGGTTTAACGACAGGACGTCAAAGATGTGAACTCTTCTATGTCAGGAAGACGTTCATTCTACTCTGTCGTAACACATGCGCAGGTTTCGGGAGGGAGATAAATGGCCGCACAAATGTCGCGTAGAGCCGGCGGCGTGTGACAGGGTTGCAGGTCATTTTTAAAGCCATCCCGGTGTTTGCCAGCGAGTGATTCATGCGCACGTTTTTGGTAAACTAATACTGTGACTTGTACATGGTCGAGTTCATAAAACACAGAACAGAGCTTCATGCCTCCCAACTAGGTAAGTACATTAAAACATATTTAGAAATCTTCAAGAAACAAATGCAACGTAGAGTCCATCGGAAGCACTATTTTATTTCAGTCATTCTTTTGGTAGCACCCCGTCTTACAGCCACAGGAAAACGACCTGGAGGAAGCAGCCAGCTCTGGCAGCAGCGTAATGAAAGACCCCCCGGGCACCTGGAGCCGCATCACCTTCTTCAGCGATGCGCGCGTGCAGACAAACACCACGCACCTTTGCATCGGGAGAACGGGCTCCGCCCATTCTTGCTGAGATTTTGGAAATCCTCCTTACCCTTCCCCGTCACGAGGTGCACGCTTAAAGGAAACCAGCGTCCCTTTGACCGGGTTCAAGGAGCGAGTGTTCCGCCCCAGCTTTGGTGAGCAGTCCCCGTGTCCGAGCCGGCCTGGGAGCGCCGTGGCCAAGCGCCTCCTCCTGGACGGTGCACTGAGCTTATGCAAGCTGTTGGCTTACACACTCCCCGTCTCGAAATAATCAGGTCTTGAAATTGGACCGCGTGTGTGCTTAACCTTCCTTTGGACAAGCTGGGCTTTTCCCATATGTTGATTTTTCTCAGGAAGAAAATAAAATACGTGCCCCCCATTCCCGCCCTCCAGGGAGCTAGCAATACTCAGCAAAGCGGTGGTCCCAGCCCCAGAGTTCGAAGGAGGCAGTTTGCAGGGCGAGCAGGACGCGGCGGACGGTCCAAAGTGCCGGCGCGTGTCTGAGAGGGAACACGAGGGGCTTTCGGGGAACAGGCCGCGGCACTAGCCTGGTGGGGCAGCCCCAGCTCCTGCCGGTTCCCGTCCCCTGGTGAGCGGCCGCGGTGCTTGAGAGGGACCCTGGGACGGGCCGGTGGGAGGTCTGCCCACTCGCAACCTCGGCCCTGAGCTTTGAGTGGCGGTATGACCCGCAGGCCGCAGGCACTGCCCGGGATTTGACCTGGGATCTTGGTTTCCGAGGTCAGAGACGCAGTGTGCATGGGACTTGGATTCAACCGCGGGTCTGCTGGCCCCCCGGTTATGGGGGGGACGAGGGCATGAGCAAAAGATGTGGACCCCTGCCCCCTCTTTCCTTCCTCTGGGACTCCCTTTCCGGGCTTCCTGGGTCCCCCCACCCCCTTCACTATTCAGGGGCCCCTTGTCCGGCGCAACTTCCTCCAGCCTGCCGCTCACTTGGCCGGATAAGAACACCTGTGTCCTTGGGCCGCTGACCTGGCCACAGAGGAGGGGAAAGGTCGGACACACGTGAGTGGATGGATTTAGCAGACACCAAATTTCCATCCTGTCGCCAAATTGCACTTGAGAAATGCAGTGATTTTCCTTCAGATAAATGTTAACCTCATCGCTGTTTCATGGAAAGATTTTATCATTTTCGTAAAGCTGTATTTGGGAGGTAAAAATAATCGCCAAGCAATTCTACAGATCTCAGCATTTCACTACTGTCTTGCGGCGTCACTGGCCACCGCTCGTGGACTCTGCGGCACCGATTCGCCCATCTGTCCGGGGTCCCACGTCTTCGGTGCTTTTGCTCCTGTGCGGCTGGGGCATTTCATCAACTCTTCTCCCCCCACGCTCCCCCCGACCGACCCCCGCGCTGCCCCGACCAGCGCACGGGGGTCGCACGACTCCGCGGGACCTTCCGCCTGTTTCCCGTCTGGCAAGTGCGTACGTGGGCAGACACGCGCAGCGTCGGAGGCGCGGCTCCCGGCCCGCGTGGGTCCGCCGCGCACCCCGGCGCCGCTCCCCAGCCTGTGGCTCCTCTCGCTGGCGCCGGGCCCTGGCGGAGCCGGCTCTGCGGGCGGGCGCTCGGCCTCCGTCCCGCTGCCGTTCTTTCGCTCCAGTTCTCCCTTCGCTCCTCTGGACATACCCAGCTTCCCTTAAACGGATGAACACACACACACACACACACACATTCACACACACACACACACACACACGCGCGCGCGCGCGCTCCCGAACGCGCCCCTCTCCACTCGGCGACTTCGCTGCACCGTAGGGGACTTGCAGCTGCTTGGAATCAAGGAACCCAAACCTGGGTAGGGGTCTGGGAGGCTGCGCCTGGGGTTCGTGACCCCTCCGGAACCGGGGTCACCTCATGACCCCTCGCCTCCAGTGATTAGCAGGAGACCCGCACGCTCTCCCGGCGGCGTTGCGGGGGGGCGGGGAAATGAGGGCCCCTGACGCCGCCGCAGCAGCAGCAGGTGCCAGGCTGAGAGGCACGGGCCTGGCTTTGAGTGCCCTCCGGCTCCTTCCGGCGGCCCCTTCCCCGATCCTGGGGCTCTTTGAGGCGACCCCAGTCTTAGCAGCACCGCGTCTCTCGGCTTCCCACCTTGGTCCATCCTCCCCTGTCCCCGCTCCGGCTGAGCCGGAGGCGCGGGGTCTTCGCCTGAGCGCCCATGAGGCCCGGGGTTCCGGGGCCTAAGCGCGGCCCAGGGTCCGGCTGGCGGTGGGTCTGCGCGGCCCCGCTGCAGCGGCGGGGGAGCCGGGCCGCCGGGCCCGGAGGGACGCTCCGCACGAGCCCTCGCTCTCCGGCCCTCTGCGCAGTCCAGCCACGGTTCCTTCCTAGTCGTTTATTCTCATGTATGACCCGGGGCTTTTCCAGGGCCGTTTCCCCGGCAACTCCCCCTCCCCACCCCCCGCCGCTCCGCGTGGCAACTCCCCGCGCGAGCCCGACCCTGTTGGGGTGGGCAGGCGGCGCCTGTGTGTGTCCTGGGGGTGTGAAGTTCCGCGGAAGGTGGAGAGGGTTGCGAGAACCCCGAGTCTCGGCTGGAGCAGTTTGGTGGGGGCGACCCCGGCCTCAGGCCGGGAGATAAACTGCGAAAGCGCGAAACTTTTCCAGCCGCCGCGGCCTCCTGCGGGCGCGCCCCTGCTCGGTTTCCCCGCGCGAGACCCGAGTTCCCCGCAAAGCCGCCACCCCCGAGGACGCGGCGAAACCGCTCGCTCTCCAGATGGAGTGAAGGGGGTGGGGGAGAGGCCGGCGGCAACTTCTCGTCCTTCCAAAGTGAGAAATCAGCCCCCGGAGGGGTTTCACATGATGGCCCCTCCCCCTCGCCCGTCCTCCCCCCGGCGCGCGGATCCGGCTCAGGCCCCCCTCCGGCCCCTGGGCCCCGCGGCGGCCCGGCCTCACTCCTCCCCCTTCCCCCCCCCCCGGGATCCGGCGGGTGTGCTGCCCTTGCCGGCCGCGCCCCACTCCGCCATGCACCAGCCCCGGGGGCGCCGGCCCCGCGCAGCCGCTCCTGCCCACCCCGGCCCCGGGCGTCCCGGAGGGTCGCGCAGCCCCGGGCTATGACTCAGGCGCCCACCTGGCAACTCTGCCATCTTCCCGCTCCCTCCCCGCCCCGCTTCCCCGCCTTCCACGCCGCCCCCGCGCCCCTCCGCCACCCTCAGCCCTCCTCCCTGACGCCCACCGCCCTCTCCTCTCCGCGCGAGATCGCAGAGGTGGCGCGCAGCCCGGCCGGCCGCTGACGGACCCTTCCCTCCTGTCTCCAATGCCTCAGCGGAGGACCCCCCAGCGCCGGACGGAGGAGGGCTGCTGCTGGACATCCTCCGGGAGAGGCTGCCCCGACCTGCTGCTCCCGGTGGATGAGCCCGGGGACTGAGCGCCCCCGCTGCCTCCGGCGCCGCGCCGCCACCGCCGCCGCCGTCGGTCCCCGGTCCCCGGTCCCCGGCTCGGGGCGCCCCGGGGCTCTCCGCCCGCGCCCACGGCCCGCGCCCTCCTGACAGCTGCGGCGGCGGCGGTGATGCAAAGGAGGAGGGCGCTGCCGCCGGCGGCGCGGAGGGTGGCGAGAGGCGCCCGGGTGTGATGCCAGCGTCATGGTGGGGATGCTGGCTTCCCGGCGGTGACGGCGAGGGAGCGCCGGGGCGGAGGACGCGCGGACTCGGGTCCTCTGCGGTGTGGGCTCGGGTCTCGTCCCGCCCCTCTCTCGCTCCCCCTGCGTTTTGGTCTGGGTCTGCCTGTTCCACGTCTCTCGACTCCGTCCTCTCCCCGCCACTGGACGCCTTCCCGTCTCTAAATGGAATTAGTGGAGCTCGGAGCCTCTGGTGTAACGCACAGACATGATCTATGGACGCAGCGTGTTCCACAGTGAGTACGGCTCCCGCCACGCCGGGCTGCTCCCCGGCGGCCGCCGCGCTCCCGCGACCCCGCAGTCCCGGCGAGTCTGGGGCAGGTGTAAACTTTCTGTTTTGCAGCAGAATAGGCACGGGGCGTGGGGGGCGGCGGGGTGGGGTGGGGGGCGCAGCCAGTCCTCCCTGGGTCTCGGCATCCGCCGGGGGGAGCAACCCTTCGGTGCGCAGGATAATCCCGGGGCCGAGGACAGAGAGGAGTTCCAGGATGCGCACGTGTGGCGGCCGCTGGGGAGTGGGCCGGAGGGAGGGCGCGGGCGGAGCGGGGACCGTGGGGCCGTCAGTTTGCGGGCTGCTGGGGAACAGTCCTCCTTCGGGGGCTGCAGGAGCTCAGCGGGCCCACGTCTCCCCAGAGGGTAGTTGAGGGTGCACCTGAACGCAGCGCCGGAGAAGAGGGTGGGGGGCCGGCCCCTCAACTCTGTGGCACAACAGACCACACGCCTCTGGCTTTGGGGAGTGTGAGGTTTGCGTGCGGCGATGGGGGAGGAACCGGAGGAAAACAGCATCGAAAGTCACCGAGTAGAAAGCAACAGAAGGCAGGTGTGGTGGAGATTTCACGCGAGGAAGCAGGGATCGGAGAGTGGATCCTGGGCCACGCAGTTGAAAGGCCAGCTCTGCTGATGTGTTGGCCGTAGTAACCATAGTGCGCGCTCCACAGTGCGAGGCCGTGGACACGGTGGGGGGGGGGTGGTGGTGGAACTGGAGGGAGCAAAACCCCAACATCTGTCCTGACGCCGGTGGCCGTGCACCTGGGTGCCTGTGTGTGTGTGTGTGTGTGTGTGTGTGCACAGTCACAGCAAGTTAAAACAAGGCTTTGTTCTGTGTAAACACACACAACAACAGTAACTAATGTTTCCTTCTTAAAGCGGATGAGCAGGCTGGAGGACAGACTCTTGTACCTGGTGCGGTTCTCAAACACGAAAACCAAGGCCCACATACTTGCCCCTGGAAGAGTCGGTCAGCATACAGTTATAAGCTCCCGGGGTCAGCCTGGCTTAGGGCATCGTTGTGAATTCCGTCCCCAGCTCCCCAAAGGCATTTTAAATAGAAACATGAGTACACATGCCATGGAACTCTGAGATTTGAGGGGACTGGGCAAACAAAATGAAAATAAAGCAGAAGAGGAAAACTCCGAAATGGTAAAGACCACGTTACTCTCACACGTTTCTAGTGTCAGGTTTTGCAAAGGTGTGGGGTGGGTCCGGGCTGTTGGGAGACACAGGGAAGTTCAGGTTGCGGTGGTCTTTGTCAAGGACAGACCAGGGCCTCTTTGAGACTGGAACACTGACTCTGTGACATGCTTGTGGCAATCACCTTTTTCGAATTAGTCATCTGTTTCTGGAAAACACTACATCCGAAGTCAAAGTCCAGGTTCGGAGAGATGGGTTTGGTAGCTCAGAAACTGCTGAGGGTGGCGCTTACCTGGTAGTGCAGTACAGTCTTACAAGGAGCATTCCTATGATCCTGCTGAATGCCTCCAATCCACAGTCATTTGTCTCCCTCCGCTCCCCTCCCCCTCCCACCCCAGAATCTGCCTGAGTGTTTGTTTTCTAAAGTACAAGGCACTGGCAGTGCCTCAGGGTCAGGCCCGGAGTCTGGTCCTTGCTCCCTGTTTGCTTCTCCTTTGTACCCTCTCACCTGCGGCCACGCTCCCTCCCTCCTCCCCGTGGAGAGGCTCACGAGCACAGCTACTCACAGAGGGCAGCTCAGGGACAGCGTGGGCCCCGGAGTCCCGCTGTAATGAGACGTCAGTAGGTCATCAGTACTAGTGCCTCGCATTGTTGAAGCCGTCCCTGGCCGGAGGCGTTGGGTCCTCATTGGTGCCTCGCTGGCATTACTTCCAGAAGGGATTCCTAAGTTTCCCTGATGCATGCATTTTGAGTCAGTTTGCGCAAGTTCTGCGTCAACTTGGAACCATGAACAATAATAATATTCGTCTGCCTTGATCTTTGGTTGCTGTAGACACTTATTACTGCATATTGATGCTATCTGGTCAGTCTGTGCACGTTCTGAGTCAATTTGGAACAGTGAACAATTGTAAAATTAATCTGCTTTGGTGCTTTATCATTAAGTTAGGCTATAGATTTTGGTCATTTTGGTGGATATGAATACTGTCTCTAATGCTTCTTTCCTGTTTCAGTTGTAGCAAGTTTAATCATCCTCCATTCGTCTGGGGCAACCAAGAAAGGGACAGGTACGTTTCTCGAGAGGACTGTGGGTGGGAGACCCCATGTTCTTTACATTTCCCCATTTTCCTCTTGTTCTTAATATTTTGGAACATCTGGCCACTTAGTCAAAACCAACAGATTGGTTTTGACTAAGACAACACGTAGACATTAATTTACTAATGGATATTATAAGAATGTCCTCTCTATTTTTAGTTCTGTAGAAAATTGGATGACGGCTCTCTTAAACATTTCTTGCAGAAAAGCAAACCACCTCAGAAACCCAGAAGTCGGTGCAGTGTGGAACTTGGACAAAACATGCGGAGGGAGGTGTGTTCACCTCTCCCAACTACCCCAGCAAGTACCCCCCCGACCGGGAGTGCATCTACATCATAGAAGGTGAGGCGCGGGGTGGACAGGCCCCTCGGGGCTGCGGGCAGGCGGGCGGGAGTGAGCGCACGTCACATCACCGTGACATCTGGGATTAAACTCATTATTGACATGAGCAGGGGTGAATTAGAAACAAGTACACTCCGGGAATTAAAAACACACGAACAACTTAGTTTACCTGGTGGTTGATTTACTTAATTCGGAATTCTAAATTAATAGGACGGACGCATTGTTGGCCTAATATTACCTAACATGTCACTAGTACTTTACTAGTTTAACACTTAGGAGAATAACCTGGACAGTTGTTACTTTTCTCTTTAATGCTACGAAGCACAAAACACATATGACTGTCAGAAGTAAATCTCTAATCACATTTTCCAGACGTCAGTCTGAATGACAGTCGCCTTCGTTCATGCTAATAGGTGACATTATCATAACTTTACACCAGAGTCAGATTCCAAATCATGATGGCTATTTCCATCATTTTTTTTTTCCCAGCTGGAAAGATAAATAGTGGTGAAAAAGAGGCTAGTTTCTCTCTGAACATTTTATTGCCATCAGTCTTATAGACACATCCCTTTTAAGGAAGATTTTAAAAAATGTAGACGAGCATTTTATCTAGCTGTAGTTTTCAATATAAGGGTTAGTAACTCATAACCCCAAACTGGCAGCCTCATCCCCTTCCTGGTACAGACAGCCGGCAGACATGGGCAGGGCGGCCTTGATGAAAATATGTGTATGCTCAGCATTTACTTATAAATAGGAACACATTTATTGGATTGATCTTTTATTTTTTAAGAGTTTATTTTATTTACTTTTAGAGAGGGAAGGGAGGGAGAAAGAGAGAGAGAGAGAGAAACATCAATGTGCAGTTGCTGGGGGCTGTGACCTGCAACCCAGGCATGTGCCCTGACTGGGAATCGAACCTGCGATGCTTTGGTTTGCAGCCCGTGCTCAATCCACCTAGCTACGCCAGCCAGGGCTATTGGATTGATCTTTTAAAGAAAACGTCTTTATGTTTGGCTAATTTTGAGAATTTCTATTTAGGAGTGATTCTTTTTCTTTTTGTCATTTCTGGGCCAGAATCTTTCCTCTCTCCTTGTTGTACTTGAGGTTGAACTTTCAGCAAAGAGGCACCCTCTACAAGAGGAAAGAGGAAGGCTTAGCTGAGAGCACTCTTATGAGGGATTGAAAAGGGGGTTGAATTGTGGAAATTCTGGGTTAAAATTGGTGGTTCTTTTCATTAAGTCAATAGTACAAATCTATTCAATAGATGCGTGTTAGGAACTTGCAAATAATGTAGATTAAAACATTTAGTCATAGGAAATAGGTATGTTTGTCATGCCTATTTCACAGATAAGGAAGCTGAGGCTTAAATTCACATAATTCGTGTATTGAAACGACAGTCTCAAACTTCAAAGTATTAAAAATATAATGAACTCATTCTCTCATTTAAAGAATTCATTCAGAAGCAAATTCGTACAAGTCAATGAGCTTTTGTGTCTATTGTTATTTAGAATTAGAAAGCAATGCTCACATGGGGTTTTAATATCACTCACATATTTGCATTCATTCCTAGCGACGGGAAGGACAAAGGTTACAGCTGGGAACTAGAACCTCCTGTTACTATTAGTCATACTTCTTCTGTAGCCTTTTTGACATACTTAACACTAGTCATTTTTCTTCATACATTAATCTAACAAATATTTATTGAAATGACTACTAAGAAGCAACCTCTGTTCTAGGTAGAGTCTAGAGAGTGCTGAGCAGAACAGACATGACGCATGCCTCGTGGAACTTTCCGGACGGCCTGGGGACTACGCCCCTCCCAGGGGACAGTCCGAAGTCCCCATGTTAGTACAGTGTGTGGAAGAGGGGGAAAAGAGAAGGCTCTAAGGAGGGGAAGATGCTCACAAGTCACTTTTGAAGAACATGTAGGAGATGGTCATTCTCTCTACAGGACAGCACGCGCATCCGTTGAGATGCGGTGTGCTCAGGACCCAGGTGTAGCGTCACGAGGCTGCTGCAGCAGGTGAGGACAGGAGCCAGGGTGGGGGCTGAAGAGGCAGGCTGTCTCAGGCAGCGCAGAACAGGGCATTCGCTCTGTTCTCCCAGGAGGGTTTGAACTGCAGACAATGGGTTGCCACGGAACTGATTTAGAGACATAAAAGGGCGAGATTTTGATGACGTGACTAAAGGAAAAGAACATAAGTTGAAACTTACTGTGAGAGACCAAGTAAATGCTGAGTTGGCCAAAAAGTTTTGTTTTTCCTGTAAGATGTCTCTAGTGCACTTAGTGGTCTTGAACATCACTTGAAACAATTCTGTCTGATTGCATCCCGACAGCTGCACCATCAGAGTGCATTTAAAAAAACTTATCAAAATTGGCGTATTTTTTGTGTAGCCATTTTAATATTGAAGAAGGAAGACAATAAGCAAAAAATTTGGTACATTGGGCTTTATTATTTCAAGAAAGGTATAAATGCACTGAAATACAAAAAAAAAAGATTTGTGCAGTGTATGGAAAAAGTGCTATGACTGATCAAATGTGTCAAAAGTGGTTTGCGAAGTTTTGTGCTTGGAGATTTCTCACTGGATGATGTTCCTTAGTCGGGTAGACCAGTTGATGCTGTAGTGATCTAATTGAGACATTAATTAAGAACAATCAACATTATACCATGCGGGAGACAACCAACCTAATCAAAATATCCAAATCAGTAAAGTTATTGGTGAAAATGAAAAAAGAAGTGTCTTTTGTTTTGTGGAAAAAAACTAACTGGACTTTTTGGCCAACCCAATATGAGTCACAGTAAAAGCTTGGACCATGGAAGTAACGATGATGATGGATCAGAGGAAGAAATGAGTGGTGTTCAGGAAGCGGAACCCTGAGTGGCCGGATATAGGAATGGGGGAAGAGGAACCCCCGGGAATACCCTCACGTTTTTGGCTCGGTGACTTGTTGGACGGAATTGTTGGGCCAGGCGAGGAAGAGGTAGAGAGAAAGAGGGTTTGAAGGAAAAACAATGTGTTCAATTTGGGTGTTTATACGGACATCTGGTAAAGAAACTGGATAGATGAATCTTTAACTCAGTGGAGGGTTCTGGGCTGAAGATATATATTTGTAGGTTGTAAATACAGAGATGGTTGTTGAGGATATTAGTATGCGGAATATTATCCGGAGAGAGTTTTTGGAGCACTGTTTTGAAACTCTTTCAAAAGATAGACACCTGGGTCCCTCCCCAGAGCTTTTGATTTCATTGGTCTCAGAGCTGCGGGCATCCTTGTATTACAATAGCTCTGCGTGGGGACGGCAGTGGCACTCAGGGCTTGGTCCCCAGAGGGAGGAAAGAAGACATGGGACAGCTAGAAAACAGCGGGGAAGGGCTGGGCATTGTAAGAGAAGGAAAAGCCGGAGAGGGGGCCTAGAGAGGCAGCCAGAAGGCCACGAGCAGCCGGAGTGGACGAAGTTTCCGGAAGCAGGGAAGGGCCCGGGAAGCACCTGCTGCAGCACGGAGACGCAGTCTCAGCGCGCCCGTTCTCACCGAGAGTGGGGGCGGGAGCCCGCTGGCGTGGGCGGGACGCTTGGGACTGCCGATGCGCCCGCCGTGGAAATGCAGTTTCTGTTTTCCTTTGCCGTCTCTTCTTTTAATGGAGCAAATTGTCATGCTTCATTCTGAAAAGGATTGCCTGTTCCATAGAGAAAGGCGAATTTAAAAGACAAGACAGCCCCGGCTGGTGTGGCTCAGGGGACTGAGGGCCGTCCTGCGAACAAGAGGCGGCTGGCTCGATCCCCGGTCAGGGCCCGTGCCTGGGCCGTGGGCCCGGTCCCCAGTTGGGGGCGAGCGAGAGGCAACAGATCCATGTCTCTTTCGCACACTACTGTCTCTCTCCCTTTCTTTCTCCCTACTCTCCCCTTTCTCTAAAAGTAAATACATAAAATCTTTTTTTAAAAAAGAAAATAAAATACATGACAAAGAAGGATAAAGACTCGGTCAGGTTTCTCAAGGTAAGAAGATGAGCTGTGTCGGGCACGGGCGGAGCCCCAGTCACCAGGGACGGGATGTCCTCCGACTCCCTCCAGCAGGGGGCAGTGTGGCTGTGACTGCGCGGCGCTTAGGCGGAAGCGCTCAGAGTTCTCAGCGTGTCTGAGGATGGTCCCAGGGGTCAGGAGCCCTTGAAAAGGGGGCTGTGAGGTGGTGGACAGAAAGCGTTCCAGAGAGAGGCAGCTGTGAGGGAGAGATCTGAAGGGGGAGGAAACGGAAGTTTAGGGAGTTGGCTCTAGAGAGCTCCCAATGGTTGACACGCACCGTCGTCACTTTTGCGTCTGGGACAAAAACTACACGACACGCTTATGCACTACTTTCTCAACTTCAGTTGGCGTTTCAGGTGCAGGTGGGCGCAGTTAATGTCACCACTCTGGATCAAATGAGCCGCCCACGTGCAACGTGGCCCGCCCAGAGCCACGGTGACGGCTCGTGTCCTGGAGGAACCATGATGCACGGGTGCATCATCCACCTTGGGCAGCACTTAGGTGACGATGAAAACGAAGGTGCAAATACATGAATCCGTGTTAGGTGGCCATGTATTTTCCTAACATCTCCGTGATGCTTCAGAGGTAGCTGTGTGTTGATCGATAGAGTTTTAGCTAAATTAGCTTTACCTTTCCCTAAATATACACTATGTACTTCTAAAAAATCCTCTATTCTGACAATTTGCTTCCTCATGAAACTTATAGTGGCTTATCAAGGAGAGATAAAATCAGGTCCAGGATAATAATACATGCAAATGATACTTTGATGCTAATACATAAATAGATCTAGTTTCTTAAACATTTGCCTTTTTGTTATTATACTTTGTGGGGGGGCAGGCTTTTCTAGATAATTTCTTAAGATATTTTCCAATTTGCAGATTTAAAGACAATCATTGATACCTTCTCAAGTCGATGATTATGGTATTGACCTTCATGAGACACGTTAGTGGTAGACAGAACTCTTCCGGGTTTCACTTGTAAGGGTAATAAATGTCTCTTTTCAATGTCCAAAGAGTCAGACATGCATTGACCTTTAACCCACTGAGCTTCAGTTTTATCTTCCGAAAGCATCAGGATTACATTCTTATTCTGTAAGCCTCTAATTTCAAAGTCATCATCTACCTCAATTCCACATACATTGTCGACACCCACACCGGCAAAGCTTTCCTTGTAAAGCCACCGAGGGTGATATTCGGCGCGGAGCTCAGGCGCCGTGCGGTGCGGACAGCAGTCGGGCGGCACGATTACCGACCACGTGTGGGGGGCGGGGCAGGCCCGGCTGCCCCAGGACTTCCCTCTCGGGGGTCTGCAGGGGTGGCCCCTGGAGGGGGCCAGGTGGCTGAGAAGCACGCAGAGGGCTCAAGTCAACAGCTGTTTGCAAACTGAGAGAAATGTGTGTGGCCATGTCAACAACTATTCTGCCTGTTCCGGGATATCCTGCCCGGGGGTCCTTCCAGAGTGCCTGCATTTTGAACTGTGTAGACAGACGTCACGAGGGCAGAATAAGGGGGCGCTAGCAAACGGACCCACGCGGAGCTTTCTGGAGCTGCCCCAGACGGCTCCTCCGCGATGCTTCAGAGAGCTGTGGAGACATTTAGGGAGGCAGCAAGCTACAATTCCCTCAACAGAGGCCGTTTTGACAGGTCCTTACTAACAAGCACCGTGCTGAGCGCTGGGAAAAGGTGAACAGATCCAGTCCCGTCTTCACTGAGTAGATTTAGGGAGGTCCCTCTTAAGCGAGATTCGCCTGTACAAACGGGAGTTAGCAGAGTCGGAGGTATTTAGATGCTCAGGAGAGCGGGACAACGCGGGAAGGCCCCAAAGAGCGTGTTAGCTCAGAAAAGACAGTCTCTCTGCAGTGACTTGAGCTTGGGCTGCGGGCAGAGCTAGGGGGGCCTGGCAGTAGGGGTGGAGGGGCCCTGAAGGGTCTCAGGTGTCGAGGGCTTGGATCAGCCTCCCGGAACTGATAAGAGGGGTGCTGAGGAGGTTTGCACCTGCGAGGGACGTGATAAGATTTGTGTTCGAAGAAACATTGCTCTCAATGACCTGTACGGGCAGTTTCCCCTTATCGGGGCCATCTGGATGGGATTATTCGAATGGTTGTTTAACTTCCGCCACCCGGTTCTCGGGGGGTACCTGACCTTTCCACTAGGTAGCCCAGGAAAGGCGGAAAACACAATAGAGAGATGCCTCCTACTTCCTCAGCCTGAGCGGGCAGTCTTTCATGAAAATACTGTGATTTTTCAGTTCCGTGTTAGACATTGAAATGGCCACTTTGTATCGGAAGAATAGCTTTTCCCAAGCCTGAGGCTCGGCCCTTAGACAGCTTCATGGAAGCATTAATCCTCAAAGAGCTAATAACGGCGCACTTGCTTTGTGTGTCCGACAGCTCGCGCTCCGAGTGTGATGGGTGTGCAGGTAAAATGTGCAGGGGAATCAGAAAACTTAAAGACTTCCGAAGGACCTTCTAGACATGCTTTCTCTATTTTTCAGCGGCCCCGAGACAGTGCATTGAACTTCACTTTGACGAAAAGTACTCGATTGAACCATCTTGGGAATGTAAATTTGATCATATTGAAGTTCGCGATGGACCTTTTGGGTTTTCGCCAATAATTGGACGTTTTTGTGGACAACAAAACCCACCTACAATAAAATCCAGTGGAAGATTTCTATGGATTAAATTTTTTGCCGATGGAGAGCTGGAATCGATGGGATTTTCAGCTCGATACAACTTCACACCCGGTAAGTAAGATCTTGTTTTTTCCTTTCATTTTGTTCTTTGTTGGTTGAATATCTTTCTAGTATAAGAACTTTTGTCAGACAGCTTTATCATTTTTCAAAGAATTTCCCAGCTCTATCAGAAAGCAAACCTGTCGTGCCGTCTTGTTCACCTCACCAGTTCTGAAGGGGAAGTAAGTTTCCATGCAGCCCGCAGGAGAGGTTAAGTGCAGTGACTCGGGGCCTGGCCGGCCAAGAGAAGGACAGTTAATTACACGGACTTCCATTGTTCTGCAATGTGTCATTTCGGAGACCGTCTGCAATAAAGAAACTAATTACACATGAAATCCCAATAAACTGGAAAAGGCCATTGCAGCTTTGTAAAATGTATCCATCAAAATGATCTTTGGGGATGTTGAATGAAAAGTCCGTTTGTTCTGAAAAATCATAATTTTTAAAGCGAATGGATCTTAGGACAAAGCAGTCTAATCTCTTTATAGAAATGCAGATCACTGGGGGGTTGGGATGAAAGGAGAGCCGAGACCCAGAGCAGTCAAATGTTCATTTGCGAGGCCTGGCGGTGATTATCTGCAATTATATAATTGCACATTCCATGTCAGCTCTCCTTTTAACCTGCGGATGTTGAAAAGGGTCTGTGATGTGGACGGGCTCACTTGATGATGAGTTATCATCGAACACAAGAAAAATCGGTTATCACGGTTTTGAACTGCGAGAATGTCAGGCTAGAGCGATTTGACACTTGATGAAGAGAAGTCCTTTTTTTTAATGGAAAAATAAATCCGATTACATAAAGCACATCATTTATATACAATTGCATGTTTTTTTTTCCAGTTTGTACATCCTGTTTTACTTATTACAGGTGATGGATGAAGTTAGAAGGTTTGTAAGGTTTGTCGAAGTTTCCATTCTATGTTAGAGAGGCAAGCTCAGAGCGGGGCTAGGGTGCTCAGTTCCAGCACTGAGATTGTGAAAATGATACAAAATTAATGATGACATTCACTATGAGAGTATGCTTTATGTTGACTAAGTTAGAAGGTAACTGTATCATGCATACTCAACTGGAACGTTAGGGACATTTTTATAATACCACTGGGAGATTGTGGCTTTAATTGTGCTTTGCTAATACTGTGTAGTTTACAGAAATCATGGGTATCGAACCCATGGCGCTTGAGCTCACTGGATGTATTCCCAAAAGGTGCGGAGATTCGGGTGACTTTATTGGCGCCAGAGCTGCAAACGGAAGTAGATGTATTTTTTACTTAACTGATCATTTTGAGTAGAACCAGGGCCTAACGAGAAGTCTAAGCTTTTGGAAGTTACATTTTCATCCTGGAGTTGGGGACGGAGGGATTCGTGTCCAGGATTAAAAACCGTGGTTTTATAAAGGAGCGAGGGTCAACTAGCCCCATGTATCAGCATACGCATGGGGGGGGCAGGGGGGAGGAGCCCTTGGGGCTCTGCCTGAGACCCCCGAAGGGTACAGGGCCCCGCCCCCCCAGTTGGGAATGGCCACGCCGGCCCCTGACCGGGGCTCCTCACCCCCCCTTCCTTTGCAGGGTGTCCATCCCATGGCCCAGGATGGCTGCGAATGCAGCCCAACACAAAATCATGCATTTAACTTAAAATCTTTTTTTTTTTTTGCTCATCAGCCTTTGTGAGGGTTTGTGTATGTAACGGGTGGCCCAAGACAACTCTTCTTCTTCCCGTGTGGCCAGAAGGCTGGACGCCCCTGCTTTAGGGGCACCTCGGGTTGTCTAGAGAAGGAGGCGTCCTTACCAGGCGCGGCTGAGTCGGGGGGCGGGGGAAACACGAGGAGACGATTCCGTGAAACTGAGGACGCGTGGGGGATTGACCGAGGCTTCCACGTTGACCCCCACAGAGGGGAGTGGACTCCGGGCCCAGGAGGCAACAGCGGGGCCCTCGGGAGGAGATTTGCAAACCTCCGTGGCAGCGGAGGTCGGTGCTCCGCGGCCCCAGGCCGCTGCCCGGGGGCCCCGCCGTCTGCACCGGGTTCTGTCCAGAAGGCCGCGGGGCCCAGGGAGCCCAGTAGGCAGTGCGTGGGAGTGGGGGGGGTGGGGGAGGTGTGGGGGTGAGGGGGCAGGGGGTGGTGACGGAGGCCGCAGCTGGGGAACAAGGAGTCGGGCAGGGCCGGTTCCCCCTGGCTACGTTTTTACTGGGTAGGAGGCTCCGGGCAGGAGTTTGGGGAAGCTCCCCGGGGAGGACACTCTGGAGTCAACGTCACGACGTAAGTTATAGGAACGTCGTGACGTAAGTTACAGGGCGTGGCCGAAGTCACGGGGGTTGGGGGGCAGCTGCGTGGCCTGGCCTGGCCTGGCTGGGAGGCGTGGACCCAGATGCGGCTGCCAGTCCTTGACTTTCTTGTTTCTCCCTCGCTGCAGAGTTTGCACATAATCCTTAACACTCTCTGCCTCAGTATTTTACTCGCAAAATTTTTACTTGTGCAATCGGGATAATATTGACCGTCGCAGGAGGGTGCGTTGATTGCCAACCAATGCATAATGATGAGTTTATTCACGTCCTCTGTGATCTGAACTGTGGGTCACCGTTACTTTCACTCATTGGACCACCGGCCCTTTAAAAGCAGAGGAGGCCTGGTCCGTACAGGTTATTAGGTGGACCAGTGCCCCTGATTTCTGCAGTTACAGCAGCTCTTGCCCTGATAGGCAAAACTCCTGTGGCCACGATGCCACCCTTTCTCGGTAGGTTTGTCTAAGTGGATCTAGGACTCTGCGTGGGGGTTCCAGTGGCTTCCGACGGCAGTCACAAGATGTGTCAGCTCAGACACGGCCGTGGGAAGGCCAGGTGGTCTTCATTATCTTTGTGAATTAATCACAGGCTGCAATCCGGATCTTCATCCCCCGGTCTCGGAAAATGCACCTATCCGTAGGAGTGATTCACACCAGTTATCCAAGCTAAAAAGACTGAGTATACGTGTGTGCATGTATACACTGATACGTATACATACATGCACACACATAAACAAGTACACGTTTCAGTGAGGATTCTTAGAATTGCGTAGCTCCATTCTTCTTACGAGCAGCCACACGTAGGTGTGCAGAGGATAACCAGGAGGTCGATGGCAGGGGTGGAACGCAGTCACCGAAGCTCAGATGACGAAGCTTAGGTGACGGCAGGCAGCCACGGTGCCCGGGGCTCCTCCAGGGCGTGGGTCCGTTTGTCAGTGGCGCCCTGGGCCTCGGCCTGGGAGGTCAGCCCCTTCCCAGGCTCCAGCTTCTTCCTGGCCTGACCAGGACGCACATTCGTTCGTGTCAGCTCTTACCGTAAAACATGTTTCGGATTCTTGGTATTTTAGTGACATCAGAGAATGTCTCTTTGACTTTCTTTTCTACTCAACTTAAAAACAAAACAAAACTAATGCCCGTCCCTCCCTGGCTCCTGGGTCGCCAGTAGCTCTGCTTCCCAGCGGCTGGCCAGGGGAGCCAGCCAGCTGGGCCTGGACGGAGGAGGGCGGAGCCAGGGAAGGTGTTGCGGAAACACGGGGCTTTTCCTGCATCTCCTGACTCACCCCGATGATGCCTCGCTGAGCGCAGGAATTGCGCTGGGTTTTGGATACCATGTGATCACCCAGGTCCACCGGGCAGTGATGAATCACCAGACGACAGAAGCAGAGTGAGGCTGAGCAGTAGGCAGCAGCCAGCTGGTCAGTCCTGGGGTCTGAAGAGCTGAAGGGTCGGGTGAGGCTTAGAGGAGGGTGGGGGGCCCAGAGCCCCGGTGGGGAGGAACCTCTCTTCTTTCCTTGTGAACAGAGTCGTGCGGAGACGACTACTCAACAGTACGCTCTCCCAGTCTTGAGAGGAGACGTGATTTCAGGATCACTGGCAATGTTAGAAGTTAGATGACGGAAAATTTGATAACCCACAGGTAATTTAATGAGAAAATGTCTAAAAGGGCTCAGAGTAGCAGAATGATATTGTTTTTTTTTCCTCTTAGGACAATTTTGTTTTCTTAAAAAAGATTTAAACCAAATTTATTATATAAAAAGGAATAATGAGAAAATATTTGTGCCCTGGCTGGTGTGGTTCAGTGGATTGATCGCTGGCCTGCGAGGCCTGTGAACCAAAGGGTCGCCAGTTCAATTCCTAGTCAGGGCACATGCCTGGCTTGCAGGCTAGGTCCCCGGTAGGGGGCGCACGAGAGACATCCACACATTGATGTTTCTCTCCCTCTCTTTCTCTTCCCCTTTCCCTCTCTCTAAAAGTAAATAAATAAAATCTTAAAAAATAGAAAATATTTGTGATGAAAGTATTTCAGTAATACTAGAAGAACAGTCACCAAATATGAGTGCCCAGGCAGCAGCCATGAAGGAATGAGGAGGACCTGCAGGGACCGAGACCGAGAAACACTGAACATCTATCGGCATCATCAGCGATGCCTTCATGTTTGAGAAATGACACCATGGTACTTGTGTCAGTAAAGTTACTTAGGATAAAATATCTAAAAAGCAAAAATACTAGAATAGGTACTTTTTAAAGGAATTTTTAGAAGGGAGAATACCATTTCTCCATATTCTGCCGTTTTTTTTAATACTCGAAGAACAACTTTTGAGTAGAAAATAACTTCCCTTGCCAGCCAGCAGCCTCCATGCCTCACCGTTCTCCGCCAGGGGAAAATACAAAGTGGAGAAAAAACGTGTGGCAGTGTCTGTCCCTCTCCATCCCAGTGACACAACCAGGGACTTGGTTCCATATGAAGAAAGAGAAACACCCAGGACACTGCCCGCTCTGGGGGAGAGTAACCTGTTCAGCGTCTTTAGGGACAAACGTCATTTGTTCACCCCATCTCCTACTCCCTAATGGACAGACTTTCTGCTGTGCGCGGGCAGACACAGCATGAGGTGCCCCGGGACCTTCCTCTGTGGACGATACGTTTTCTGAACGCGTTTTGTGAAACAAAGTTATGCATAGCCTGTTGGGGAGCTGTGATGTAAAGCACCAAGTAGGTGAGGTGGAGTTAGATGCGGC